CTAGGTGAAAAGCAAGCGCTCTATTTTTATGCTGTTGTGAGCTCTTTGATTGATAATGATGACGAGGTAGATGTTGAAGATAATACTAAGAATGTTGGTATTGTAGTAGGGACTGTTCCACGGGCACTCAGTACCATAGTTAGAAAAAAAACCGTTTGGTAGGTCTGACGATGAGATCGAATTTGTTTTGGTAGTGAGTGTTTGGGTATTCAAGCATAAAGTTGTACTTCTTTGATTTAATACGGCAGACAATATAATGAAAAATACCTGGTATGAAGCAATATTGTTTACAGAAAACTTGAGGTACAAAAATGTATGTAACAGACTATTTTGTATTAGTAAGAAAACCTTTTGGTTCTAATTTGAATTAGTTTTATTACAATAAACAAGAAAAACATTATATAATTTTGGATGGTTCAACCAGAAACAATTCATTACAATTGTAAGAAAAAAACATTTAATTTGGGTGTTAACTAAACTAACTCTTTAGTTTATAGTCATAAGGTTATAAGCGTCTTTTTTTTGGACGTTGCAATTAAAGTTTAGGTAATCCAACCTGCAAGCTGGTATTTGCCTGTACCTCTAGGATTGCAAGGAAAGTCATATGTTGTTATTGTTGTGTATATCTTGCATACTCCAGTCATGAATTAATAAATAAATACAAAAATAATTCATTACACGACTTTTTTTTTTATCTTGTTCGGACATAGTTTATTATTAAAAATAATAGAAACTGCAACAAAAGTACCTGATATGTACCAAATCTTTGAAACTTGTTTTAGTCTTTTCACGAGTAGTGTTATCCTTATAGTGAAGAGTTTGAATAAGTGACTGTTCATGTGTCATCCAACTTTGATGGACAAAGACATTACTTTCTCTTAAAATCCAAAAATTATATTCTGTTCCTCGTCCATTTTTTAAAAGTTCTATCAAGGCTCTGGTCTTTTCTAAAGTTTGTAGTGACACTAATCTTAATCCAAGCTTTTCACAAAAATTACATGCTACAAAATAGTTTAACTGAATTTCAGATGGGCTCATCGACGATATATAGTATTTATTTCCATTTAATTGTACAACCATTGGACCAGCTGCAAGAAAAAATTTGACCTTATATTAAATATACGTGTACTTTATTTTATCTTTAACATCTTATTAACTTTACATGAAAACTAATGCACTTAGGATTTTTAGTAAAACCTATGCAAAAAATGTTAAGTTACTACTTTTCAAGCCATTGTACCGGCTTTTCCCGAGGTAATACAATCAAAATTTTTTAAACTTTTTTTAATGTGAAGTTTTACGTCCAATTTTCATTGGTGACCATCAGATTCGGATGGTAAGGAATTTAAGAGGAGATTTATTTAAAATAATTTTTTTTGTATTTTTAAGATAAAATAAATTTTGAAAAATTAGTAAACATTTTTTATCACACTGCTTAATACTGACTGTAGTAAACTATTATGTGATTTATGTAGTTAAGCATTAAAAGCTTGACACCTTGATTTGCCTGAAGTAAGTACAAAATTGACCTTCTTGCACACAAAAATACTTGAAGCACTAGTAACAAAAAGGTACTGACTGTTAATCACTTAAAAAACTAAGAGTTATCTTATAATGATTATCTTATAGGTAGTAAAAAGTGTTTTTCAGAGGATTACACAATCAGATGTATGTATGTCTACTACTCAAAGAAAAATCACATTTATGTATAGAGCTGTGGTGAGGGTTAAGCATAGTGGCATTCCAATAATGCAAAAAATGAAAAGAATCAATAAAAAAAAATTTATTGATTTCATGCATTGCTACATCGAAACAGACAAAATTAAGGCGAGCTACAATGTTACAACCAGTTGCTTAGATTAATTTTTGAAAACCAAAAGTATTTTTATATTTATCAAATGGAATCTTAGTTATATCAAGTAAACAATCAAAATGGTCAGTAATAGCAAAACAAAATTATTTAATCATATTTACATGTAAAAAAATATTATACAAATAACAAAATGGACAACTTTAAGGTTGGACTATTTGTAATTATCAAACTAAGTTGTAAAACATCGAATAAAGATGAGTACTGTATTATGCAAGTACCTTGCTAAAAAGATGATGCGTAGTATTTCAACAGTGGTTAGAAAATTTATTAAGGTTAAACTCCAATGACAGAAATGTTAACAGCTAGAGTTATATGAAATACTGACTGGCATTGGGCCTTACATTTTAAGTTGCTATAGATGTCTCTTACCAGTCTGTCAATTAATCAACTCGGTTTTTATTGGCTGTCATATCGGTTGTCAGATAAAAGTTGCAGCAAAAAATCAACTTTTACAACCATTGGAATGAAACTCTGCTACTCCCAGTGCTCAATAGCGCATGACTGCTGTCACTTGCGAAATAACTTGTAAATGCACATAAAATGTCATTTCACTACATATAAAAATATTATAAATAATTATACATGTTGTTCTATCGGTAATGAGACGAAAGGATTATACCAAGCTCAACATGCTCAAGGCCTTTATCCTTGACAGAAATTTTTTTTTCCAGTCTTCATGGCTAATAATTTACATTTTTTTTACTACTTAGTAGGTATTAGTATTATAATAAATAACAATGATGCTCTTGCAGAGGTGATGGCATAACTACAGGACATTCTAAGTGACTAAAGCATTTAAACTCACATTAAATAACCATCGATTAGCTACGTTTGGTTAAATTCGATCTCATCGTTAGACCTACTGGCTAGTCTACTGTTTACAAAACCACATGGAGTCAGCTTAGAAAATCCACACAAGTGAGTGCCATTACTGAGTTGGTGTCACCAAAGGTGAGTTTCATTTACAAACAAAATTTGTACTTGTTAAAACATAAGACTTTCTTATCCTTCACAGCAGTGGTCTTGCGTAAACGAGAAAATTAAAAACTGCAGTGATTTAGATAAAAGCTACATGGGACTTGAATACCTGTTACTTCTCCTTGGAGGCTAAAACGATAGTATATGTGGTTAAACATTTGGCTAAACGAATGATAAGCTGTACCAAGTTAGTAGTTTTAATATGTTTATGCATTTTGTTATACCTTAATAAATAAAACTGTATGCCATAATATTTAATTAAAATGTGTACTCAAATGCGGATCATCATTACATCGGTTATTGCTGTAGTTTAAAATACAGAGAAATATTGTTAAACGTTTGAATTTCGAATATAATTCAAGAGAAAATGAATAATTTATTACATAATTCTTTTATTTACTTTTACTACACGTAAAAAGTTTGAAAAAATAACATGTTTTTATCTATGTGAGCTGTGTTTATTTATAAATTACAGGACTATTGTACATATTAGTTAATTTTGCATTTAATTCAGTAAAAGCAGTAACAAAAACACTAGTAAAAGTTGGGTCATTTACTTATTTTCTTCGGCAGGAGTACCACGTACGTAATTATGATTTAAAATAGAAGATGCAATCCTTTTATACCATTTTTTGACTTGATCTTTTGAAATATGAAATTTTACGTCAGTACTCTGAAATAATTTATTCAGAGCGCTTATTTGTAACCAAGCATATGGCAAGAAAAGCAAATATGATTTTATATCTTTTTTCTTTATTTAACTGAGAACTTGTTGAGATTCTTCATCTCCTTTCTTAACTTAACTGTTAAAAAACTGCAGTAAAGCTGGCCGCTGTTCCAAAACACGGTTGACGCATTGTTCTACTGACAATCAACATCTTATTGATTGTTTAAGGAATTAATGTTCAGGAATCCCATCAGTTTGTAGAAGAGACAAATTGTACAGCTTGCTAAAACTTTTTTTTATCTTAAGAATAGATTTGCAACAACATCATAATATCCTCTAATTACTCCTTTGAAGCACGTTGTATGCAAAAGTGTGTGATGTTGGCCAGACATTAAACGCAAATAAGTCCAAAAATTTTTTCAAGTAATTTTTCTTTCAGTCTACTTTCCTCTTCCACTATGGTTGAATAGTCATCTAAATAAAATATAACAATATTATGTAACGGGATTTTATCACTTTTAAAAGATTTAATAATACACTCTAACAAACGTTCAGCACTACACGATGCCTTTTGACCTTTTTTAAATACAGATTTTAAATCTTAAGTAAAACATTTTACGTCTCCATCAGTAACATGCTTCATAACGATTGATAAAAATTCATCCTTGGTAACATCTGTGGATTCGTCCACCCATATGGAACAAGCATTATCTCGCAAATGATCTGTTAGACTCTGCTTTTCACGTACACTTCTATTACATTTACTGTCATATTTTATGCTTGAGCTTTATTCATGCAGCGTTTGCATACCTTACACGCTTCAGATTGCATTATTTTCAGCATTTTCAAAAACTGTGGTACTTAAAAACAAATGACATGACAATCCAGTCATCTTTTTTAGTTAACAAGGTGTTTTACTTTGTACGGCGCTCAACAATATATTTATGTTGGCTACCTCCAGCTCCATACCCTACATTACAGAAAATGTTCAGATAGTGGTCTTCATTCTCAGCTCATCACAACAACGAACCATAATATGGCGTCAATATTAGGAATGAACGGTTTTATATAGGTGTGTAGGTATTGCTCACATCCAATAATTAGTGCTTATTATCTTAACGGGTATAAAAGGAGGATTATTCTTCGTGAGCTATTTACTAATTTGAAACACTTTTTAATCAACTATAGATACATGTATCCATTGATTCTTGAATACAGCCACTTTTGCGTCGATTATAGTCCTGAAATTTTACTATGGAAGAGTTACGACTTTTCCATTGTCTATAATAAGATTATAAATAGAAAATATCATTAGAAACAATTTAAATACTTTGTTAAAGGATGCATTTGGGCTAGTTAAGTACCTGATATGCTTTGATGGCAGGTCCTACAGTTATCAATCATGGCTTATAGTGTTTGATTACAAAACGTTTAAGAAGACACCTTATGTTTATCATACCAAAATTTTGTAGCACATTATTCATGATAAATCATTATACATGATATTTATAATAAGTTTGCTTGAGCATTTTTCTTATGTCAACTTAAATTTTGTATGCACGTTCACATCAACTTTCCTTGTAATACATGAAGAAATGTCTTATAACTATTTTAATGTTTCAGTACCAACTAAAGAGCTTTTCAAAGCACACTTTTTACATCATTTTCATTCAGGTAGATACACTAAATGATATTTAAAAAAATCAAGAACACGTGATTAGTTTCTTGGCATTTTTTTTAGCGTTTAAGGTAAAATGACATCCATTTTCGATAAAACTGGAGGTATTTTCATCTAGATTAATCAACGTTAGATTATCCGTACACACAGTATCTTAATTATTTTTTCCACCACTTTTTAAATTGTTATCATCATGTTTTTTGCAAAAAAAATGTACAAATTAAGAATTCACCGGTTTTCTCTGGATTTCATTCATTTCTCTAACGCCTAACATTATTTTCCAATAGTAACGTGCATGGATAAAGTTTTTAAGACAGTTTCTTGTAAGAAATCAAGTGTTAGATATTTTGTTTTTAGGTTGCAATCATAAATAGTTCAGGGCGTAAGACACATTCAAGAAATTAAAAAAAATAAATTGATAATCGTAAATTGATATTTTTAGAACGAAGTTCTTTATCGTGGGTTACGATGGGATTTATGCTCCCTGTGTATTTTCTGTGTATACGGACGGTAATAAACAGGGACCCATCAGCTAGAAAGTGTAAGAAAAAAGCGTGCACTTTTAGGGGAGGGGAAGGGAGAACAGAGCAGTAGTGGCAACAGAGAGAGAGAGACAGACATAGAGAGAGACCGAGAGAGAGAGAGAGAGAGAAAGAGAGCTATCTAGCCAGCGCAAAGACCTATCAGCTAGAAAATGAGAAGTAAAAGCGTGCACTCCCATTTTCGCTGTCTAACAAAACCAAATCATAGAGCCCAATCATTTAAGCCCAGGTGCCACAGTCACATAACCAGTAGAAAATTGGTGACAAAGAATACTAAATTTTAAAAAATAAATAAAGAGCAAGAATTTAATAGGTGTGTGCGGGCATACCAAGCGACTAACAAGATACAA